CGGAGGAGGGGTGGGGTGATGGGGAGGTCCGGTCAGATGCCCCCCTGTCTACATTCCTTTCTGGCGCTTTCGGACTCCGTCTCACCCTCCTCCCACCCCTCACTCACCCCATCGAGAGCCCCAGCCGGGTTGGTGGCGGTCAAATGACACACACACATACACACACATACACACACAATCCCCTCCGCCTCCCCGGGTCCCCCCACCAGGTGCTGTTGGAGCCCCAGCCGACCCTTATGGGCGCTGTAGTTGAAGTACAAATTACGGCAGCGTCCCGTTGGTCTGTACGGGGTTTCATTACGAGGTGGCTGTACAGGTACGTGTGTTTGAGGCCTTGCTGTGCCGTACATGTGTTGAGACCTTGCTGTCTACCTACAAAGCGGATGAGGAGGGGTGGTTTTGGTTTTGGAAAGGGAATGATAAAGGGGGATATCGCGGTGGCTGGTAAAACCTAGGCGCCAAACATAGGCCATGAGCGAGGGGGAGGGAAGGGAAGGAGGGGAGGGGGAAAGTTGAGTTGTGTGGCGGTCGTGAGAATTGTGGACAGGGTCGATGGGGGTGGGGTGGGGTGGGGTCGATTGTCCCGGGGGGCCCTATGTCAGTACCTCCCGGGGTATGTGCTTTCGTATCCTCAAACATACATACATACATACATACATACATACATACATACATACATACATACATACATACATACATACATACATACATACATACATACATACATACATACATACATACATACATACATACATACATACATACATACATACATACATACACACACACACACGCATGCATTCATGCGTAGCGAATGTCGTGATGTAAATCCTTACGTGCCCAACGTCAAATTGGTAATTGGCAATTCTTAAACACAGGCCCGACAATGTCGTACTGGACGAGCACGACGAGACGATGCCAGCAAGGTTGCCGCAGCCAGCCAGCCGTCGCACGGCAGGGCCAGCCGCCGACCACCTTGACAACCACCTAAATAACCGTCACGCCAACCAGAACCAACAACGAACTACTGTTAACAATCTCCATCAAGACCATCATGGCGGTTTATCCGACCCGGCAGAGCCGCTATCAGAACGGCATAATGGACAGGCCAACGGTAACGCCAACGTTAACACCAACGGTAACATCAACGGTTACAAGGACGCTAACGCTAACAGCCGTTGGAACAACTGTACGACAACGGAATGTACAACACCCTCTTCCGGCCCGGGGCTGGGAGCCCCCGAGAGTGAAGGTCTGGCGTCCTTAGGACCTTTGTGCTGTGGGGGGGTCTGTACGGCTAGCGGGCCTGGGGGCTGTACGACGAACAATACGGACGCCATCAACACCGCAGCCGCCGCTGCAGCTGTGGGGAACGGGTGCGAGACCACTTTACCTGGAGCTGCCGCCGCCGCCGCCGCCGGTGGTGGCGGTGGTGGCGTGAAGAAGTGCAGCAGTGGCAGTAGCAGCAGCGGCTGTTGCGGCGGCGGTGGCGGTGGCGGCGGCGGTGGCTGCTGCGGGCAGGGTGAGGACTGCGAAGGGACCCCGGGGGCCACCACCACCGGCGTGGAGAGGAAGGCTACATCAGGCTGTTGCATTGGCGGCGGCGGTAGCTCTGCAGCTGTAGCTGAATTCCCCGCGGCCGCCGCCGCAGCTGCTGATGGCGGCGGGCGCAGCGGCGGCGACAGGCGTGGGAGCTCCGAAGGCACCGGAAGGCGTCAAGGGCGGCAAAATGAGGCCCTGAAGGGCCCGCCGGGGCCGGCGGCGGCGGCGCCGCCGCCGCCAGCGGCTGCAGATGAGACCAGCCTCGCGGCTTGCGGTAGCTTTGCCCCGCGACTGCTACTGCCCCACCTGAAATCGACTACAGCCGACCCCACTAGCATCCCCCCTGCTGCTACTGCTGCTTCGGCTGTTGCTTCGGCTTCATCAGCGCCCGCGCCACCCGCATCCAGGGGGCTGTCAGTGCTGGCGGCGGTGCCATTCGTGGACCGGTGTTTGTACCTGGCTGTAGCGGTGGGTCTGCTGGGGATGCTACTCTCCGGCGCCATGTCCATGTGGGATGCGGTGTACGGCAGGGAGTGATAACCGGGTGACAGATAATGTGGGGCGTTGTGTACCGTGCGCACGGCATGTCGTACGCGGCACATCCACATCCGTACGGCAGCCAGGCACCGTGATGCGTGTGTGTACGGACACGAGTCGGGGGTTCCCGGGGAGGGGGAAACAGGGCCTGCTTCACATTCTCTTCCCTCTTCCAGGGGGATGAAGATTGTCGCTTGTGAGCGAACTGATGTGCTTGCTAGGAGGATTTGCGCACTGTGGGTTGTGCCGTGTTGTGTGATAGCATCTGGGTCAAGGGGGGATCGTCGTGTGCGGTCTTGGTCTGGTGTTAGGGTGTGATGTGAGGGCAGCTGAGGGTGGGTGCAGTTGCTGTTGCCCTCGGAATGTGACCGCCGGAGACCAGGGGGGCCTTATATGTGTGTATGTGTGTGTGAGGGGGGCCTTATGTGTGTTGTCGCATGCCTTTTGTCGCATGCCGCCGCGAGGGTGTCGGGGGGGGCCGGGGAAGCCGCGGGACCGGGGGGAAGAGACATGGGGGGCTTCCTGCCGCTATGTGGCCTATCCACGTGTATGTAAGTCCGTATGTAAGTACGTATGTATGTATGACGTTGATTACACTGGGCTGAAAAAGCCGGGGGCCCAGGGCCGAAACACAGCCAGGGGGGCCGGATGTACACCGCCGGATAGTCTCGTGCACTCCGCCCCCGGGTCAGGCCGCACGAGAAACGACGGCCGGCACACATCAGCGCTCCCCGCCGGGGGATGGCGCTCCAGCTAGACGGGTACTATGCCCGCTGGTCTCCTAACAGAGACGAAGTCGCAACCGAGGGGCTCTTCCTGCCGACCGAACGAACCGAGCACCTCAGAAAGCTCGCAACCAGGACCTGGGCGACCGGGAGCCCGACGAGTCATCCCGGGCTGGGGAGGTCACCAAGCTCCGAAAACCATACACAAAAAGAGCGCAAATAGCTCACACCACAAGACGCCAAACAGCCTCCTTAGGCTACTACCCTCCTCCGCCTCTCCCTCCCTGGGCTAGTCCAGGGGAGATAGCACCCGTCGGGGGGATAACACCGCACAAGCCCACGCCCTTCCACAGCACTGGGTCCAACTCGAAAACGGGAAAACCCTGCGGTGACGCTGGGCGATCAAGCCTCCGAAAACCAGAAAGGGGGGGGAGGGTAAACGAATGATCGGCAATGCCGAAAATGTATGTATGTATGTATTACGTGGCGGATACAGACGTGTCTGGTCTCAGTCGACATGTGCTGGTGTTTCAGTTTTTTACAGTTATCATTCCGCATTTATCAAATCCCCGCCCTCTCCCTCCTTCCGGGCGCATTCGCCCCCGGGGGGAAAACAAGAAAAAACACTGAAAGCCAGGTGAGGTGTGGCACCGCACGTGGGTGCGCACTGGGCATCCAACGAGAGAACTGCTTCGACCCTTCGAAACACGCCTGGTGCGAGGTGCCTGGTGCCCATATGGGATTGGGATTTGATCCTGAACGCCGACCTCCGGCTACAAAAGGCCCCAGTTCGCTGACCATCGCATCGCTTCCGAGTTAGGGATCCTAACCCTTCCAAGGAACCCCAGTCCTTGGGGGGCGGCCCGCTATCAGGCTTTTACGGACAGCACGGCTCCCCGCACGGCGGCAGACCGCCTGACCTGACCTGAGCTGACGTCAGCAGGGCTGCTGCTGACGGAGGGCAACTGCGGCTGCTGGGGGCCGCACGGGAACATCGTGGGCAACGCAACGAAGAAAACGTGCTCAGCAACGTAGCAGCGCAGCTTCGGTACGCACAACGGAACAGAACCAAAAGCTCAAAACGGCTGTGGCTGCGTGTGCCAATCACATCCCATCGCTGTCACTATCTTCCAGAATCCTCCTCAAAACACCGGGTACGACACTCCTCCCGCCTCCGACACCGCCAGGAGCGGCACCACCAGCAGAAGCAGCAGCAGCAGCAGCGTGGTGGCCCAGCCGCCCAGCACCCAGCACAGTTCGCGGCGAATGCGCCGACGGTGGAACCGCCGCTGCCGGGCCGCCTCCCCCTCCTCCGGCGTCAGCCGCGGCGGCGGCGGCGGCGGCGGTGTAGTACGGTCCCGATCCGCCGGCGGAATCTCCTCTCTGGCATTCCCAAGCAGCAGCAGCTGCAGGAGGAGGAGGAGGAGGAGGAGGAGGCTCTTGGATACAGTGTATTTCCGCCGCTGCCGTGGTTGGCTCCGAAACCATACCCAACCCTGGCTGTTTCTCCCCTCCAACGCCACCGCTGCCATCCACGTTGTCAGGACTGTCCAGCAGCCTCAGGAGCCGCTGAAGTCCCGATTTGCCAGGCGGCTGTGGCGGCGGCGGTAACGGTGACTGATTGACATACAGCCCTACAGCGGATCCTGGGGCCCGCCCGACCCCTCCTTCCGCGCCGCCGCCGCCGCCGCCGCCGGCACCGCCTGCTGTACCTGGCGCCGTCTGGCGGGCGGGACTGCCCGCGAGAAGGTCCTTCAGGCGGCGCTTGCGCAGCGGTGGCGGCGGCGGCGCCGCCGCCGCCGTTGCCGCCGCCTGGACAGCAGCGCCATGTTGTACGGATGCAGGCGGCCGTCCGTCGAGTTGCCACATGGGTTGGTCATCTGCAACAGTTGAACCATGTTTCGCCGCCGCACCGCCAACGCCGCCGCCAACGCCGCCGCCAACGCCAGCGCCGTCGCCGGTACCCGTCTCTTCATGGCTCAAACCCATCGAACCCCAATCTACAATTCCAGGACGCCGCAGTGCGGCCTCCTCCTCGTCCGCAGCAGCAGCAGTAGCAGCAGTAGCAGCTGCAGCTGCAGCTGCAGCAACAGTAGCAGTACCCAAAGCCATTTCCGGTGGTGCATTTTCCTCTTTCAAGTCATCGGCGCCGTCATGCACCTGAAGCAGACGGCGGCGACGACTTGAAAGAGGAAAATGCACCACCGGAAATGGCTTTGGGTACTGCTACTGTTGCTGAA